GATATAGCTTGTGTAATGGTGGAAACCACCTTACAGTGTTTTGGAGACCTTAACAGTCTCAAAATTAATGAATAAGAGAGATACAAAATGAATATAGTACTGAGAGTTGGAACATTAGGCAAGCTCAGAAGGCACCTGAAGAATTAGGTATCAGAGGAATCAGAGGAGGGGATGCCTGGTTTCTGAGTCTCATATTGTTTTAGAATCATAGAATCATAGACTCGTTTGAGTTGGAATGGACCCTTGAAGGTCATCTAGTTAAACTCCCTTGCAGTGAACAAGGACACCTACAGCTTGATCAGGTGCTCAGAGTCCAGTCCAGCCTGACTCCAAATGACTCCAGGGATGGGGCACCCACCACCTCTGCAAGCAATGTGTTCATGTGCCTAACTACTCTTACTGTAACAAACTTCTGCCTAATATACAGTCTAAATCCCCCCTCTTACAGTTTGAAACCATTTCCCCTTGTCCTGCTAAAGAGTCTGTCTCCTTCTTCATAACAGCCCCCTTTTAGACACTGAAAGGGCACTGTCAGATCTCCCTTTAACTGGTCAGAGAACACCTAGAATAGGGTTCAGTTCCCTTTGCATTAGACATGAAGGACGTGAACAGCATCAGTGTCTGACTTGTATTGACTTGTAGATGTCTGATCTGGGATAGAGTTACCAAAGCTTTTAGCTCTGGCAAGATTACTGTGGAAGTGGCAGTGGACCAGAAGTACTTCAGACAGCAAGGGTGCATCACAGAGAGAAAAGGCAACTGCAGCCTTCCAAATATCTGCATGAAGCAAGTGTTTTTGCTTTTGTTTTAAAGCAGTGAGGGTCCTTTTCCATTCACCAATGCACCACTGGATCTGAGAGAACATGGGAATCTGACACCTAGAATTAACTGAAAAGCACACTTCTATGTGCGTTTTGGTTCAACAGGTTTCAAAATTTATTTCTCTAAAATATAATACTTCCAGAGGTATCTATTTCTATTGATTGTAATAGAAACTTAGATGACAAGCACTTACATGACAAGCTCATACTTCCTAAACTTTTAGATGTCTAAACTTAGGTGAGACAAGTCCCACCTGAGGTATTCAATCTAATACCACTATGGAGATATTCATTTTAATTATTTAAAGGGATTTCTATTCTAATTAATGAAAGGGAAGGGCATGCTGAAAAAATAATTTATTCCATTCTAGCACAAATAGGTAAGGGCAAGAAAGCATGAAGCTCTAGAAATGTGTCTCCTTTTTAGGAAGACATTTGCAGTAGATTAAAATTTTTTAGACTGTTAAAGCTAAATCAAGTGAAACATAATCTTAATTCCTACTTGCCATATTTGTCTTAACACACACAAACACACACACACACACACACACACACACACAAAAAAAAAAATTAGCTAGCAGTACTGCTTTACCCTTCCAGAAACAAGAATTTCTGAGGTACCATGGTATGAAATCATCAAAGATATGCAAAAGTAGTATGATATTTAGCCCTGCATACTAGCATAAACATTAGTGAAATTTTGAAATTTTGGTATTAGTGATAGTGGATGGAGAAGGGTTTATTCTGCGTGGGTGAAGGAACAAGGCCACATCTTTGATGTGTTGTGCAGAATGACTCTTCAACATTTGGCTGTTTCCTGGATGTGAAGACAAGGAGAGAAAGAGAAAACTGAGCTGAAGATGATGCCTAGGTAGGAGCATGACTGACAGGCAGGATGATAATGTTGTCCACAGTGATTGAAAATGGAGGTGAAGGAGAGAGGAGGAGGAGTTTGGGAGGAAAAGTTTAAGAGCTCTGTTTTATACATTGTGGGCTTGATTTGACAGCTAGGCATCCATCCATTAGGAGAGGCTGGAAAGACAGGCCAAGGTTTCAGTTTGGACAGGAGTCAGTTCTTTAGTAGAGAAGTTAGATCTGCAAACTGTCACTTCAGAAATGGTCGCTGAATTCATGTTGGTGAACAAGGATGCTGAGGACAAGAGCTGGATGAAGAAGTGTAGAGAATCAAGGGAAGAGACGTGTTTCTGCCCCTTATGGGTAAAGAAGAGACGTGCGAAAGGACAGAGTAACCATAGCTGAAGGTAAAGGGCAAATTATAGTTAAAAATACATGCAGCAGTACATGAAAATGATGATCTCTCACTAGGGAGGACATGAAGGACAAGTGTAACACTATTCTAAAGCTGATGAGTTGATAGACAATATAATTTAAAAAGACCCAAAAATAAAGCACTCTTGGCAGGTAGATACAGAGGGAACTTTGGGCCTGCTCAGAAGTAAGGGATTTTGGGAAAGTTATTTCTCAAACCAATTGCTTTGTGCTCAAATTTGGAAGTTGTATACCTGCTTGTTAGGCCCTTAGGAGAAAACAGAGCCTTGCATGGAGAAGTGGGCTTGTGACGGATGACAGTCAGGCACCTGTCCAAGGAAAGGTTAATAAAAAGAAAAAAAAAGAGAAAACTTTCATAAAAGAAAGTTGCCTTTTGAAACTATTAGGGAACATATGTTGTGTGAACAGGAAGTCACAGTAGAGCAATAATCCTGACAGCTGTGGAGAAACAGGAGTCTGCCGCAGGAATGAACGGCTCGAGACCTGACAAGAATGATGATGGATGCCCCGTTGGTAGTACACGAGGACAAGGCAGGAGACGTTTAAATTGGCTGAACCACAGGAACAACTTTGAGTTGGCATCACAGTCAGACAAATGAGGCCAGTCCTAATGGCGAGAGAAATGGGAGGGGGAGCTGGAGGAAGATGGCAGCAACGCGCCCCTCCTTTCCAAGGACGAGGCCTACATCGCCATCTCACCACGAGGTGGCTGCATTTCTCTGTGAACACCCAAGCCCTGAATGAAGCTGCATGCAAACCCCGAAGCACCCTGAAAATGAGAATGAGAGCGGTGAACACTTGCAGAATTTGGCCCATATCTTTCCAAGTGTCCAAATTGTTCTGAGGCCCTCTGTGAATAGCGCTGTGTGCTCAATGTCTTGATGAAGCGTCAAGTCACTTGACAGGTCCTCACTAGTTTGTTGAGCCATGCTAGCTGTCTGTGTACCTGCTAATAGCTCATGGGAAATGTGAGGAAGTGTCACATAATTTAGCTCAAAACAAAGAGGTCAAAACATAATTTTCTCCTTGCATTTTCTGTGAACTAATAGTATGTGCATGGATTACTGCTGAGGTTCAGCTGATTCATGGAAACTTGTCAAGTCATTCAAATTTATGAGTGTGGAATGTGTTTAGTGAGAGTTAAAGTGCAGTGCTTTTTAGAGACCTAGATCTGATTATTCAAGAACCACGTGTTAGGTTATTCTAAAGCAAGTATTTGATTAAAGAAGTCAACAAGAATAATGGTCCCATGAAAAACTGACAGAAAGGCCATATTCTGCACTACTTTTTTTTGCACATCCTCAGTTGACTTCAGCAGCATGGAACAAAAATTTGTTCCAAGATTGTTGAGATGGGTATTTCTTCTTATCTGAACAGTGCTGACAATAGGAAGGATAAGAATATTTTGGATATAGTAGATCTAGATAAAATCTTCAACTCTCCTTGGATTTTTTCTGCTTTCTTCTCTGTTTTGCTCTCATCAATATCACCCAAATTTCTAAGGGTACTGGAACTGACATTTTATTACACTGACTAGTGATAAAGACTAAAGACTCTGGAATTGCCATTACTGATGTCATCTACAGACACTATCACTTTGGATGATAGTTTTTAAGTCATTAGAATACTTCACTGACCTACTCCAGGAAAGATGATCATATTTCACAATGTGGTTTTCAGCAGTAAGCCCCCCATGTTGTTATATTCTAGAAAGTCTTGATTGTAAGAATTCAAAAAGTGGACACCCCACCTTCTAATACCTTCATTAGCAAATGTGTACCATTCTCTAATCCGATTTATCTAAACGTGGGTTCTAAAAAATAAGATTTAATGATTTGCTTCTTCTTATCAGAAATCTCTTTCCATGTGAAGAACTTTCCATTTCCATCTCTACACAGACTTAGAGACAAGCTGCCCATCTGCCAGGTTTATTTTAATATTATTAGGATAAACTCATGAATTGAGATTAGAGGTCCTTACTAAAACAAAGACTTTGCTATATTAAATATTTAAGAACAAGAATCCCTGTATCCTTTACAAGTTGTCAGCGTGCTTCTTAGACCTCCATAATTTACACCATGAATAATTAGTAACAAAAATAATAAGCCATTAAAATAAACCCAAACATACTGGATTAGATTGTCTTTCTGTACTGATAATGGAATGACTTACATTCCTTCAGGTCTGCATCGCGGTTTACAAGAATCATTCTGCACAGAAAATACATTTGCATTTTAATTTCCACTTCCTGAGCTATCAGTTTGGAAACCTCATTTTACAAAACATTAGCACAAGCAGAGTGATCCCTCAAACATTTCCTGGGAGCATCAGTAGTTTGACAGACTGTCTTTCAAATGCTGGATGTAGGGAAGACCACATTTATGCTGATGTAGACTCTTATGCAGTAGCATAGAAGTGTACTTCTCTGTGTTGTGTTTCTGGCATCTACTGCCATTACGTGAACATGCTGTTTTGTGCTCAGTTCTGGCAAAAAGTTTTTCTTCCTTCACATAGAGGCAGGGACTCTTTGTGGAAGGAAAACAAAGAAGCCCTTAGGTACAAATTTGTGCTTTATTCATCTCTCCGCAACTTAGATAAGTGGCTCATGGTGATTTTGATTCAATTGTGGTGCATATTTGGCACCTCTGAACCACGTCTTTTTTTCCAGTGCATCAAAACTGCTGGTGACAGAACATATCACTCCTTGGGGTTCTGTGCTTTCATGAAATGACAGCATCATCCTGGCATTTCCTTTAATGAGTTAAACACACCCAAAGCTCCACATGCCATCTTCCTACAGTGTGAGTAGCAGATCATACATAAATCATTCCTCCTACCATATCAGGCCACGGGACCAATTCTTGCTTTTCATGTTACAGAGCTACTCACCGGCATTGTCTGGCTGCCATGCAAGGCATTGATAGCTGCTTGGGCCTCTGCATGCGAAGAATATTTCACAAATGCACACCCTAGAAAAAGAAAAAGAAGAACATAAGAAAGGTTCCGTGGCTACCAATGACAGAACATTTAAATATTTTATCTTGTCCTCAGAACTAGTGATAGAGAAGATAGTGCAGAAAGCATAACAAGCAAACTGATTATTCCTTTCCAAAGTCCAGCCATAGGCAGTTCAAGGACTTCTTGAGGCAAAGCTAGATAGTTCCATGCTGCTTGCATATAATTTGGGTGGACACAAACTTAGAGAGAACCTTCTGAAACGACTTATCTTTTGACCTTTATAGCTTCCCATGTTAGCACTGCACAATTTTATAATTTACTGTGTGAAAATGACTTTCCTTTTATTTGTATTAAACATACTGCGGAACACTCTCCAGTGTTCTGGAAAAGAGTAAGGAAATGAACAAAAGCAGAAAGCTTCCCATTCCTGTTACAAGTCACCACAGGACAGATGTAGGGAAGGCATTCAGCTTGTTTCAAATACACAAGGTATCTGTCTTATATCACTGCTTGGTAGAAGTCCACTACAGAGGCTGCTCAGATCTTGTCCTGGCTCCGAGCAGCTTTGGTCTGACAAAGCATGACATATCTTCTGATAAACAAATGAAAATGGAATAGATATGCATGTGATGACTGCCATGTTTCTACCACTGAAACCTGAACTATACAGTGAATATTATATCATAAGCTACTTTACCACGGCTTTCCTGTACACATCAGAGAAATGTGGGCAGTGCTCCTCTAGCCTACACTGCCATGTGAAGAATCTCACACTGTCTGAACTCTTACAAAAGATTCCAGGGCAGAAAGGTGCCTTTATGAATATATGCTAGAGTGCAGAAATGATCAACACTTCAAAGGGTCACATGCATCACAAGAGTGGGGGAAAGTATTGCTAACACTCTTAGCTACAAGCAAATTGACTCAGAGGGAGGAATAGTAATTTCCATATGCTAAGGAGGATTTTGGAACAGATTGGAAGAGATCTGAGAAGTTCTGGCTTCCATCCCCTTTCATTACTATTAAAGACTCTTGAGCTTTTAATCAATTTGCAAAGCCCTAGTTGTTTCCCTGAAGGAGTGCAGAACACTCATGAGGGATGCCAGCCCTGACAACAGGACAGCTGTCCTTCATTTCCTTTGTAGAATCTTTAGAAGGTCAACAAACCATCACGGATCCATGCAGTGCATGGTGGGAACTGCAGCACTACAATACCTCACTTACAAAAGTAGAAGAATGAGCCCCGAAGGTGTCTATAATCATCACTATGAGCTGGCAGAAGTGGAATCAAAGAAAGCAATGATAGTCCCCTTCTAAAAAGAACACATACGTATGCTACACATACAGTAGCTATCAGCTACTGGTTAGGATGCCTTCACTTTGCATTCCCTCATACTCCTGTGCTCAGACTGTATTTCAGGAGAAGCGTAATGATTGTTGCTAATAGTAGGATCTAATTTGCAAGGAGCTGAGAGGAGACAATCACAGGAAAATGAGATAGATAAACTTCAGCTACAAACAATGGAGATCAATTATGACATAATCGCAGCCCAGCATTCCCAGGCTCCTGAGATTCTGTGCCTCCCTCTTCATTAATCAGAGATAATCCAGAATTAGGATGTTTAATTATTTGCACAGATTTTTTTGTACTTTATGACTCTAAAAATAAGATGCTTATTAGCAAATATACAAAGGCTTTCCAAAATCAGTTACCCACTGCATTTAGAGGAAAATTTTTGGCTACAGTGTTGCTGTCATGTTGAGGGCTTCACTCTCTTCAGGTGAAATTCACTTCTGTGCTGAGGAACCTGATGGATGAGTGGAGCTGGATAAAGGTGGGAATGAGGGGAGCAGGAGGCATTTGTCTTATTTAATGCCTTATATGCTAATGAGAGTCCTTCATTGCTTTTTCCTACTGCTTCCTACTTGGGTTTTGAGACAGAAGGACAAATGAAAACTCAGTTTTCACATATGTATAATGTCAAAGAAACATTTTGTTCCCTTTGTGTGCTCAATCGGATGGCTTTTTACACAACATGAAATGTGTACACAATTATCCCTCTGCCCTTTGTCACCAGGATTGTGCTCAGGATCTCATGAGCTGAGAATATGAGTCTCAACACTCCTCAAAACAATGGTGTCCTTGTGACAGGAGCAGTTCTGGAGTTAGAAGGGATTTTGACACCCAGAGAGATATATAACCAGGCTGAGCAGGGAGATACATGTGCACGGGTGTTGGGCTTTGTGGGTTTTTTTTTGGTAAGTGTGTGTGTTTTTGGGTTGTTTTTTTTTTTTGTTTGTTTTGTTTTTGTTTTTCTCTTTCTTTTTCTTTCCTTATTTCAAGATTATAGAGCTGGAAGGGCTGCTCTGACTATCTTGTCAGCTGTCCTGCAAGAACAGAGGAGACTGCAGAGTCAGGGCCTAAGGTATCATTGGAGGTGTTAGACTCCACTTGCAGGACTTCTGGTGTAATGGGAAGTCTTTGCTTTCTGAGATACTAAAAAAGACTACTGCTGAATTAGAAAATAAAAATAAATTATATGAGAAAACAATAAGGAGAGTATCCAGAAAGCAGCAACGCAGACACTATGGGTCCTGCTGGATTGTTAAACTGGATCTAATCTCACTGTGGCTTTCACACCTGTGGAATCCTGTGATCCTGTATGCACACTGTTAAGCTTTACTCAGATTGATGTAGGGAAGCTCATTCCTTTCTCACCTCTCCCAGCACAGATATTCTGCACTTCCTTCAGCAGAAAAATGCCCTAATCCCTGTTCTTCTGACACCTTGCATGCTTCAGCAACAACTGTGTCTGTCTGGCCCTGGGTGACTGATGCAGATGTCCACAGGCTCCAGACATCCACCCATGGATTCAAGCAAGGCTGAAAAGGCTTTCTGGCTGTGACGGTATTCTCTGGGAAGTTGAAATTCAAAGTAATGATTGCATCGAGATATCTGGAGGGCTAGGAATTTCACCACAGGGATATATGGTGAAGATTCATATAATGGGTTTGCTAGGACCAGAGCGATCTGATTGCTATCTGGTGCTTAGTTGATCTGCCTAAACTCAGTTTGGGTGGAATTTACACTTTATGGGTCTTGCCCATAATAAATATCTCACAAGTGATATGTGTCACATTGGTTTCTAGCGGATGGAAGACATTACAGACTGGGAATAACTTTGTGGGAGTTGTGGCTTGCCTGACTGTCTCCTAAAATAAGGGCACTACCCTTAAGTTTTCTACAGGATTGAATGCTCTTTGTGTGTATGTATCTGTGCGTGTGTGTAAATTAGGAGCTTCATATTCTCAGTAAACAGCACCAGCAAATGGAAGCTGGAGCCTCTGTCAAGGCTCAGTATTGATCCTGAACAGTTCAGTGAAATCAAGCCTGAGACTGCAGCCTGCTAGCACTAATAATTAAACTGGTTAGCAATATGGAGCTGCCACTCAGATTTGGACTTATAATGAAATTGTTTAAGAAAAAAAGAGAAAGAAAGAACAAGAATGAATACAAGTCTGTGGTTTGGATTTCCTTTGAAAGCTTTTTCTTACAGAGCTCACACATTATTTCCTTTATTATTACTCTGTTTAACTCCTTTGTCATTAGATTTTGTTCCGTACAAATCCAGGTAGAGATGGATTTTTATTTTTTTTTTTTGGCTTTCACTCAATTTGCTGATTTCTTCAGTGACAGGAGTGCTGAAATATCTGCCACTGAGCAATGGTTGGAGCTCTTCTTGGTGAACCAAGCCTTTGGGTCTCATGAAGTTAAAGTAGCGATAAAATTTAAGAAAGGTGTCCACAGTTTATTTTAAGCCACTTATATAAGGAAGATTGGGCTTTGCTGACTTACATCAAAATATTGCCCTATAATGCCATAGTGAAATCATTTTGGGCCACCAGTGACTTTACAGAATAGCAATATCTTTCTCTAGTGTATCACTGTGATTTGGATTTCTTGCCTTTCCATTGCAAAAATATGCTGGTTGATTTTGTCACATGTCAAAATATCTAGTGAGATATGAACTGCATCAGCAAGAGTGGTCTCTTCCCTGGTGCTGCATGTTCCAGCATGGTTTATGATGTATTATAAGCAGATCAATATTTAATGGACACATTATGCTGTCACGAGAAGAGGGCTTCCTATTCAAATTGAAGTAACTTTGTCTAGAAAATGTCAGAGGAAAAAAATGACCCTCAGATTCAACAGAAAAGTCTCATCCTTCCACCTGGACTCTAGAAAAGATTCCTTGTACTGCCCAGGAACAGGAGATTCTAAAAGGTGGCAAAAAAAGGTATGCTTTGCAATTAAGCATTGATGTATTTCAAACAGTAACTGCCTTTTGACTGTGTTGTTTACATCACATCCTGTACCCTCGCAATTTTGATTGCTGGTTGATGTATATCTGTGCAAAGACTAACTAAAGAAGAGGAAGACCTTGGACTGGTGCACGAGGAATAAGCAAAGACAATGGTGGAAAAAAGAATGAGCCTGTTCAATGGGAAAAGAAACTCCCAGCCTTCCTGGGGCTGATGGGAAGAGCCTGTCTTAAGCACTTGTAAAGATACTGTTTTCAGAGGGAAGGCTCTGCCCTCTGAGGAAACAGAAATGGGCAACAGTGCACACATGGAAAGACAGCTTGTTGTGGAGGGGGATATCCTTACATGCAATTGGCTCTTTATTCTCACACATAAGCAGACAGAAAATAGAAAAATATGGCCTCCCTTGGCAAATATGAGCCTTTCTAATATACGTTGTCCTTGCAGCCATCTAGTAAGTTGTTGTGCCAGAGTATTATATATACACTAAGACCTAGTCTATCTTGAAGCTAAGAGCACAGTGTGCCATGAGCCATCATCTTACCTTTGCTGTTTCCATCGGGTCCCCGAAGGATTGTGCACTCCTCAATGTTGCCAAATGCCTCGAATAGCCTGCGCACATCATCTTCTGACTGCTGCTTATTAAGCATGCCCACAAAGAGTTTTCTGTCTTCTGGAACAAAATAAAGAGATGCTTACCATATTTCAGAAGGGATTTGAAAGCCAAGATAGCTCAGTATCAAATGCAAAAGAAACAGTGAATTCATTGAGGTGACATATTTCAGAAGCTGTAAGTCATTTCAGGTGCTTGGCTCGAAACACCTTAATAACATCTGACTCTCAGTGAGTACTTGAAAATAATTTGACAATTTCAATGAAAAAAAAAAAAATCTCCCAAACCCAGAAACATCTAAAATGTTTTAACTGCTTCTTGAAACCTAGGCACGAAAGCCTTCCAAATTAGCTTTTTCTGATCAATTTTTTGCAGTAAGTGAAATAACAACATTGCTCAGACTGCCATCCAAGAGAAACGTGGATAAAGATAGCATACAGAAATAAAGTCCAATTGAAAAATAGCATAAGTTAGTAGCCTTCACAATACTAAATACATTGCAGGAAAAAAAAAAAGTTTTACATAAGCTGTTTTAAATAAGGATATATCAGAAGCCACGGTCTGTAAATCGAGATTTGTCATCCATATCCACTCAAAGGCATATACCTTCAAGTTTGGATTATTTTTTAAGTTCACTTAAAATAAGCCCAAAGTTTTTGAAACATATATTTTTTCTTGAAACATGAAGTTAACTTATATGAATGCTAATATCTGAGGTAGCTTAAGAAAGGTGCTATTTCATGTCAAAGCAGGATGTGGTCTACTGGCAGATATTGTATCTTGAATGAAGACTATTTATACTTGGACTTATATCAAGAATGGAGAGCTGCAATCCACAACATAACACATTGAGAAAATGCCTGTGGAAAGAAACCAGACCACTGAGTAATGAGTTGGTAGAAAGATCTCAGAGATCACTGGGTGATGCATCTGAGTCAGGTTTGTATTCAAAGATCACTACCAGTACACCACGTAAGGCACAACAAAAAAAGAAATGTAGGTATTTTATGCCATGTATGTAAACAGGCCCTTTGCAACTGATTCATGAGCATCTCATTTATCATTCATTAAACAGTATGTAAATGAGTGATTCAAGGTTGTTTTTTTTTTTTTCCAGAACACTTTACAGAGCAGATGTAACCAATTTGAATAAATATATGTAAATAAATAAATAAATAAATAAATAAATGCATTGGTTTATTTGTTTATTTATTTTTAAATGCATATATTAACCTAAGGCTGAACAAAACACTGGTTTGCAACAACTCTTTGCTGGCTGAGTAATTGAGTGATTTATGTCACTTTTGTTCACCAAGAAATCATTGGTGTAGGCAATCTGTTCTGCTTCAACCAGTGTTTGATCAAAATTCCCCTCTCCAAGATGCACCTGCAAATTGGCAAATTACTCTACAGCCTTGGGCGAGGATAATTTTTCATGCAGTTGATATCTACTGAGGATATTAGGAGTTTTCAGTCCTGCAGTGGAGTTATCCATGTGAACCAAAAGTGTTCTACCCCAGAAAATGAGGAGATACGTTGCTTTCAGTAAGGCTACAGAAGTGATAGGAAAAATAGGTTAAAGAGGATATGTGTGTGTTACTGATGGAAGATAAAAAATAGGGCTACCCTTTCAATAGACACGTTAAAAACAAGAAATACGATTTATGTTGGATTTGATTAGCTACAGGGAGCTCAGTGTCTGCTGGCAGCATGAAGTTGAGGCCTTAATGATGCTTATCAGTGCTGTGTAGTCTATACTCACCTCAAAAGAAGATGCTTTGGACAACCAAAAGGTTCATTTTCTGGATGGATACATCCAGGAGGGAAAATGGTATTGGTGATTAGGCTCAATGAATGGATTGTGAACCACAGGAATTGCATCCAGGGAACTTGTAAAATCACAAGTTTTTTTTCCCAAAAGCATACTTGTCAGATATTTTTTTCCTCAGAATTTTTGGAAACGATTTGAGTAATTTCAATCCAGTAATGTCAAAGAATGAACTAAAAAGTTCGAAGATCCCTGTAAGTCACGGTCCTTGTGGGCCTGAACGACCACTTTGGCTTCCCTGGGCCTGTGATGGACCAACGACATTTCTCAGTCAAGTAACCAAGCAGTGGAGAGACAGGCGTGAATTTTGCTTTAGATACATCTCCCCTACTTGACCTAACTACTGTTTTCATTTAATACCTTGCAGGTCCCAGTAGAAACCACTTTGCTAGGTGATTAAACTGATGTGCAAAAGAGAGGTTATAACACCTTAGAAAGGCAATAACTAAAGCTGAATGTGTGCTCTGGGGCTGCCTGTAGACTGGGTAAGGACAATGCCCAGGAAAAAGCCTGGCTCCAAAGACTGTCCAGATGACTGGGGAAAGCCCACCTGCAAAGTGAAAACAGCTGTCCTGGAAATGGGAGACACTTGAGGGAGGGAGGAAAGTTTCGGGAGAAAACTGGGAACTCTACGGCAAAAGGCTTTGCCTAAGAAGTCTGTGTCTAGTAAATACTTCCATCTCAGAGGAAATGTCTGCTATACTGTACTTTACACAGTTTCCCCTGTTTTGAAATAAGCTGCATCAGCAAAAGCTCTCCTATAGTGTAACTGTATTTTCACCAGGCTTTTTTGCTAATATACATGTATCATTAAAAAAAATCACATCCTTCCTCTGTCAGCAGAACTCTCTAGTGTGCAACTGGCCTGAAACTGCCTTGTCTGGCTTAGTTTATGCAAAGCTTAAAACAGGTGTGTTAGGAAACATTTAATTTTATGTTTTATTTTGTTTTATTTTAACCTTATTCTCCATATCTCTGCTGGACACTGAGAGGAGTGATGCCTGCCCCCACAGCCAGCTGGCAGAAGATATGGTGCTTTTGGGAGCTGCACACAAGTGGCATCAGACCACCAGAAGGCTTTGCTGAGGGTGAAGACTACCTTCCCTAGGCACTGTTGGTCCAGCTGCTCCAGAGGAGGTGACCTAAAGGGATCCCTCAAGGCCAGCCAGCACTCAGTGCCATCTGAGCATCACCCTCAACGCAGTCTCCAAATCATCACCCTCCCTCCCTCCTGAAAAACTGTACCTTGGTTTGTCAGGGGAATCATCTGTCACATCTGCCGTGTCAGAAATCTACACAATCACACACTCAGCTGATAAAAAATGAGTTAGTTTAATTTCTTTTTTTTTTTTTTTTTTTTGTGTGTGTGTGTGTGTGTGGTGATGCTCTTTTAACAAAGTGCTGCATTTACCTTTCAGATCCCAGCTCAGCAGTGCATTTTAACAATGTCCCTTGAACATCTCAAGTGGGAAGAGAGGGAGAAAGGGGCAGCAGCTGGGACCATTCAGCACATTCCTGATCTTGGCTAATGAATTTATCCCCTAATGGGCTTGTGTGAACCTCTCACACCCCGAGTGCCCCCATATGCTGCTCTGCCAAGGCCCAGACAAAAAGCCAACATGCTGTGCACTGTGGCAACTACTTCTGCTTTGTAAATGTGTCTGAGTAGGGTCACGAGGCTGCTGGTGTGAAATGAGGTGAGGATGGGCAGGAGTCAGCAGGACTTGTCTGAGCGCATGTGCACACTGCAGATGCTCCCCACCAAACTTTTCCAGTGTCCTTGCTCAGACTGTGCTCAGACCATATTCAGACCAGTTTACGTACTACAGAAAACAGAGGTTTATGCTGTAGAGAAGCCTGAAGCAGTTACCTAATCAAGCTGCCTCCAAGCTCTGTAGGATGCAGGCCCACTCTTATAACACCAATGAATCCCAGACTTCTCCCTTTTTCAGCAAGGAACATACCAAACCTATGTAATATCAGGGCCCTAAATTTTTCAAGTTAGTGAAGAAATCTCACTGGCCTCATAGGAGGGGCAGATGAAAGCAGTCTGAGCAGTCACTCTGCTCTGCAGTGCAAATGTTCAGTGGGATGTCCATGCAAGCCTCGTCTCCCCACATTTTTATTTCACTACTGTTAACCCCATTATTGGCCTTTCCCCATAACCTGAGCCCATCATGTCTGGTTGACCCACGGAAATGAACATGGATGGTTACTCCTTTGTGCTATGGTTCTCTGAAAGGCCAAAATTTTTGCTGATTTGCCTCAAGACCCTAACAACAAGTGGCCTGAGACACTTCTATGATGTCAGAAATTAAGTTCATCTTAAGTTGACCCCCTTTTGTTATCTGTAAAGCACACTGACCAATGGAGCCAACATTCCCTGTTCCTCACAGGAAGAGAGATAGAGAAAGGCTTCAATAATCATGGAATTTCAGGTGTGACCCCTTGATAACACTTCCAATGCTCCCACAAAATGAGGTTTCTCTCTTTCTTCTGAAGCTTGCTCGAGTTGGGAAAAACAGGCTGCAAGATACAGTGGTGAAGAAATGTAACTTGTCAGAGAAATTTAATGTGTCTATAAATCTCCCCAGCTGTATTTATACAAAGTCTCAACACCTTCCCCAGTGCAAATAGGGGTTAAATTATTCCCTGTTCTATTTGTATTTAAATGTTATGTTTTTATGATAAGCGTAAGGCAGAGGTGTCAGACAGGCCCGGGCGAAGGAGACGGCACGCGCGAAAGGTGAAATAATAGAGCATTGCAAACCAAGTGCCAAGAGGAGATGGGAAGGGGGGACACAGGAGTGAGAGGGAGAAGGGGGAGGACAGTCACTAATTAAAGAGACAGAAGGGACAATGAGATGCAGGATGTTTGACCCTCTGCAGAGCAAAAGGACAAGAACAAGAATCACAGCAATTGTGAAGGGACTGTGGGAAAATTAGGGTCATTCACAGAGAGACATGACACAGGTTTGTGTTTATCCAGATAGCTCTTGCTAATGTATGTGTGTGCGTGGGGGTGCATTTAGATAAAAGCGTATAAATACACTTATGTTCTCCTATTCCTCATGCAAAACAAAGAGGTTGAATCCTTGTATCAGAAAAGCATCAGCCAGCTTTACCATCAAGAACATTACATCCCAGGCCTTGGAAATAAAGAGACAGATCTACCACCTTCGTGGCCCAGACTAATCAGGAGGGCGAACCAGAAGATCACTACGGTCCCTTC